GTTGTTGCTGGGCGAGTTCATTCTCTCATTTTTGAAGCAAAGCGCGACAATCTTGCCATCAGATCAGCTGATAAAAAACAACCGACCAGACCCCGGAGCATTGTACAAATCATACAACAACAGTCGCAGCAACAACATCGTAAAGTCCACAACAACAACCACAATCGACAGCTGTTTTAAGCGATATTTAGCTTTATTTTTTCGTTTTGCTGGCTGGTTTGTTTGTATTTTACGAAGGGAATGTTTGGGAAATGACTACAAACCATTATCGCCGAGCGGGCATCAAATTTCCAACTTATTTCGATTACATTTAACGATTAAAACTAAAATAAAACCTCGAGTGGATACAGATGGGAAAAAAGTGGGGAAACGAGGAAAAGTGTGGTTCCACTATCGCAGGTGATTAGTCAACTGTGGGAAATACTAATCATGATACATTCAGTCATAAGTGGTTTAAAATAAATCTCTAAAAGGGATGACTTGAAAAAAATACAGAATAGAATTCGAGCTTTTTCCAAAATGGATATTGATATTTTTTTAAACATCAAAGCTGTAAGTTTATTTCAAGTCTGACTCAATTTGATAGCTTGTTTCCGTTGATAATGAGGAAATGGATCATTACATTTTAATAGAATGACTTATGTGCTAATTTATTATCATTTCAATGACACATATTTCTTCAAAAATGACCCTGGTATTTCCTGTCTAGAAGCTAGTATAATCTTTCAGATTGTAAAATAAATTTTCAAATTAGGTCATTTATTTTTAATACAGGATAATAATTACAGGGTTTGTAAGTACTGGTGGTGTCTATCCACTTTAATACCAAATTCGCGATTGAAAATCGGCCTTAAACCAATCTGAAGTGTTTCAAATGATTAAGATCCCTCAGTTCATTCCTTAAACATGTTTATCAGTTTCATATTAAGTTGCCTTGCCCCATTGATTAATCACTTTTTGAGTTTCCCTTCTCATGTGATAAGACCGAAAACAAAAACCTCGTAACTGCAATAAATACATATCGACAATCTGAATTTCGCTGGCTGACTAAGTCGATCGTCAAGTTACTCCCCTATCTCCTCACCCCTATATCACACCCCCTATGCCACAAGCCATTCATTCGCCTCACTTGATATGCAAATGTGCTGGCCAAAAACAACGATAATAAAATGCAACAAAGTGAAAAACAACATTTTGTAATTTGTAATGCTTGTTAATGTTTTTGTTTTTGTTGTTATTGGTATATTGTTGGTGGTTTTATCTGGTGATATTTCCTGGTCCGATTTCCAGCAAATCAACAAAACAGAGACAAAGAGAGTGTGAGAGGGAGAAGCTTATCGCAATTATTAAAATACAATGTCAAAATGGCCAAAGCTCGAGATTATCTTTGCCAATTGAAATGGACAGAGCAGTCAGGGCAGAGGCGGCGGGTATGGGAACAGAGAGGGGGCCCGAGGGGCCTTGGCTTTGCAACCTGAGCCCTGGCTTTTTATCGCGACTGCAACTGCAGCTCTTCGAATGCAAACTGCAATTGCAATACGCAGTTAGCTAGCTCTTCTTATCGCTCAAACTCAGCTCTGCTCTGCTTCATGGAACCCCTCTTAAAATCCCCCTCTTCCCACAAAAAAAGCGACGCGAACCGCTTGACACGTACCCGCGCCGATTTCAGATATAAGAAAGAGGGCCCCAGTGGAGCCAAAGTCTGAGCCACACAGAGAAATATTCCACCTAAATTAACCAAGTCGAGTTTGAAAACATTATTTAGATTTTTTAGTATATTTTAACAAATTGAGCTAAGAAAAATCGGTTTTAAGCATTGTTAACTGATGATAAATATAGATTATCTGATGAAACTTTTTTTAATATCAACAAATTTTTAATTTGGTTTAAAAGATGCTTTTAAAATTAAAATTAATTTAAGATCCAAGTTCCCAAACCTCCATTTAATGTATTTAGAGAAATAAGTTTGATACAATGTTTTTATCATATTTAAGTTTTCTACCCCATTTTTTTTCAGTGATTGGCCCGCTTGAAATAAACTGAAACTTGACTTGAATTTTGGCTAAATTGGCACCCGCATAAGGATGGCTATGTCGATGGGCCGATGTCTTTTGTTGCTGCTGCCGGAGAACAGTCGTCAACCGAACAGCAAAACAGACAAGCGTACATTCAGCAACCGACAACCAACAGCTGGCCATTAACATAAAATTAGTGATAAGCGTAATTAAAATTTATAAAAACACAAAAGTGTTTATCTATGTGCGACTGCACTCCCTCAGGTCTCGAAACTCTTAAAAGGTATGAGATAGGAATCAAGGACAGGTGGGACTAGGTACAAATTTAATACACTACAAAATAAATAAATAAAATGTGGAGAATATTAAGTGCAAGATATTAACAAGGTCAATACATGTTTGAATCGAACATTTTTTTAGTTTCTTCTATATTTTGGTATGTTAAAGCATTTAAATTATGAATTGATTATTTGATAAGATATTTCAGGAAAATAATTATTTATTTTCTAAAAGAATTATACCTTAGAATCCTTTGTAGAGTTTGGCGGTTAAATTGCCGTCCCAGCATATGTGTACTTTATCCAAATTAAATATTAAGAAGACTCTATTCGAGAGTATATCGAAAACAAACCCGAGGGCGTTGTCATCACGATTCCTACACTCCGAGTTCGAGACTATACGCTCCGATACAAATGTCAGTTATTGAAGCTTATGTAAAGGCAACAATAACAACGCCTGGAGAACCTCCAACAAAAGCTACGCAAGTTGTTGTTATTTGTTGTTGTTGCTGCCACTGCTGCTGCAATTGTGATAAAACTTTATCGAGTTGCGCTTTGAGTTTTTTCTCGCCTTCCAAACCACCTCCCATCGCCCACTAAGCTATAGAAAACAACGGGACAGAAGTGAAGCAAGTGTGCAAGAGATAAATATGCAAAGCAGAACTGTTAGGGGGTGACAGTGGGTGGGGGTGGATGGTTACCGAGGGATAACCCACTGATAGTGCAGGTGCAACAACAACAACAGGCACCAACAATGGACTACAGCTGCGCAGATAAAAATACCCTAAATTATCGTAACGCAAATGGTAAAGTTTTTCGTTATCCATTCCTCAGTACACTATAAATAGTTAAACGTTTTTAGCTAAAAAGGTAAATTGGAAAATATTTAAGTACAAAAAGATTTTAAGAATTTGTTTATCTTTCTTCGATACTCTATAAATAGTTTACAATTTCACTATTAATTGGTTTTTAGTTACTATTTGAATATAAATAGATTCCAAAGAATTTTGAATGCTGCTGATAACAGTCTTCAGTTCTTCATAATTAGTTTAAAGTTATAAAGACTAATGAGTCTAAGGAGCTCTGCAGCTATAAATACATTTTGAAAATAGATTCAAAGGAATTATGAATGTTGATAAGTGGGAGCCTTTAAATAGCCTTCTCTTTTAAATAATCTTGTCTTTTATATATTGATATTTTTGTGGGTTCATTTGAAAATCGTCATTAAGACCTGATTCTTTCTTCGTCCTGATGACCAAAAACATTTTACATGTTACGGTCTTTAAGCACTATAATTCGTTAAATGATCGTATTAGAAGTACTTCCCGCATGTGCAGATCTATATAGAGTGTATGAAAAGCTTTGTTGGCCTCTGCTCAATTTATCGATTCTTGGCAGCTTACGCCGCTTACTGTGGAAGTTCCACTTTCATGACTCGGTCTGATATCACTCGTTGTGTAGTTGTTGGATTGTAGAATTGGATGGCAGTGGGGGTTCTGTTTAGATGGGTGTTGTTGGGTGGGGCAGAGTCAGCCAGCCGAGAAACGTGCTTGGAGCAAAAGCGGCGACCGCGATAAGGAGTCCAAAATGGCAAAATGGATAAGCAGAAGACCGGGGCAGGGGACTTGAGGTGAGTTAAGGTGCTTGGGGTGTCCAGTGTCGCAGGTCCGGCACGTTTTATCGATTTCGATTCCGAAATGCATTCATTGGGTGTCAAATGGTTTGGGGCCATAAATATATCAAATGGCAAACAACGAAATGTAATTAGTTAATACTCCCCACACTCTCTCTTGTCGGCTCCCCAGCAATATTTATAAGGTGTGTCAGCTGCACGTACAACAGGTATCGATATCGATAGCGAGGCGACAAAGAAATTTCATTTGAGCAACAAAAGTTGACCATTTTTAAATACCCTTTTCTATCTTGCATAATCGAAGGGTCTATGTGGTCAGACCACAAACACAATTTAAATTATCCAATAAGTACTATATATTTTCTACAACCTGCAACATAAATTTCTCTACTATTTAATCACCTTCCTTCACTTAAAAGTTAACGATCTTTTTTGAGAAGTTGTACGTAATCAAAGTCTAAATAAATCATTTGAATATCGGATGTCTTTTAGTCGCAAAAACTTGACTTTATCGTTCTCACTTGGTTTTGTTTAATTTTTTCAGTTTCTTTGTCTTGGCATAGTTTATCAGCTGTCCCCTCACTCGATTCCCCCTTCTTTGTTTTCTGTGTTTGCTGTGTGTTCGTTCACATGTTTTGCTGTCCAAAAAACGAGAGCTGCTGACCAAGCGAGCAAATTTGAATGGGTCAATTGGTGGTCAGGTGGGAAACTCGATCGAGAAAAGTATAAACTTTGAAGGAGAACAGTTTTTAAAAGATTTGTCATAATTTCCCCAACAGTATAAAAAGCTACATATTTCTATATCAGACTTAAAATTAACAAATATAATAATAATTTTTTTATTTTATTTTTTTATATAAAATCGTTACTGTTTCAAATTAAAACGCCAGCCAACTTTTGATCAGAATTTGTAAATATCATTGTCGGATAAAACTTTTAAAGGTATCAAATAACTGATAAGGTAATTAAACCCAAATTCCTTTGTGTTCCCTTTACAATTTAGAACAAAGGTGTGCGAATAAGAAATAATATATAAAAATCAATTTTAAAATCTCGAATCTTTGAAAAACTCACCTTTATTCAACGGCTTGGGGTTGGACTGTTTGCGTCGTGACATTTCGAGTCCAACTGCGGGACTGGAGATATATCTGCAGCTATGTCGGCATCAAGTCTGCGGAAGATCTCTTTTCGCGGACATTTACCGGCGGATGGCACTCACACACGCGCACTCACTCTCACACACACGGCGAGTATCAATTATAGGCAATCAATGCGATTATTTGTATTATTTCTATTATTGGCGGCGATTAACAAGACTTAATGAATTTTTAACGATCTACGCGGCGAAAACCGCGCGCGATTTCGAAGCGGAATGGAAGTGGAATTTCGATTGGGATGCAACAGGCGATAAGCTCCAACTTGATCTCGAATGGCATCGATATATAATTAGTGTTTTGCTCTTGATATTATTATTTATGGAGTCGCGTGTTTTTGCCAAAAGCCTTTCGAATGGGGGCGTGGCATGCGGGGCGGTTTTGGAGACGTCCGTTCAAAGCAAGCGCTCGCTCACGAATGAAATGCAAAACGAAACCGAAATTGAAACGAAAGCTCCAATTGGGGAGAAGAGCACGCGAGAGAGGAAGAGCGCTCTTATTGAAGCGCGCGCATTTAGGCTCTCCCGCTCGTGTTTCCATTTTGTTTTTACTTGGATTTTCTTAGCTTCGGCGTCTGCTTCGCAGTCCGATAAGAATCAAAACAAAAACGCCGAAACTTGTACGCACGTTTTCACATTTTGCTCACTGTTTCTTTCTCCGTTCTATCTAAGCATTCTAATCATTTTAACAATTTTCTCATTGAATTTCCACTACTGCCTTATGACGGCAGAATTTAGGGGCTTGCAGAGTTGAAATTCACTTTGTTAAATCACTTTTTCACACTCTTAATTAACTTTGCTGTTTTACCAAGTCTATTTGCTTTCAGTTCGCTTAATTACTGGTTTTCTTCTACAGCTTTTGGCTCCAACTGCTTGCAAAAGGCGTTAGTAAACCGAGTCTTTTAGCGCAATTATGAGCCAGTTATGGCAGACAAGTTGCCATTTACAGCCTCTAGCTGGCGCTGTAGTTGCCGATACCTATGCATACTTTTAGGCTTTCCGCAGAGGGCGCCACACAAAAGGCGCATAATTTAAATGCAAAGCAGACTAGGTCCTTTAACCATGATTCATGTTAGCTTCTGGTATCAAAAATAAATAAGTAATTACTGCAACGTCCACAGAATTCTATTTCCTGTGTAAAGAGCATTTTCAGCATTTTATTTAGCTGCACTTCCGTTCCTTTTTTGGTTAATTTTTTATTTCGTTTCGCTTTTTGTCTTGTAATTTGCACCTATTGCCAGGTTTTAATGGAAATTCTTCCTGCTTTGCATTGGATGCTCATAGATTTGAAAAATTCCGACAGCAGCGGAAATGAAAAGCTTCCTGCGGGACAAACTCGCTGTTAAAGGGGGTGGTGGGTGGTGAAGGCAGCATGCAAAGTAGGATGCATGGCAATAAATATCAGAAACCAGTTAGCGCGCCATAATCCACGCTAACATATGGCCGAGTCGATTAGCCACGCGACCTCCACGGGTTTGCTCTTTTCCCGCCCTTTTCTTGGGTCATTTGCGCTCTTATTTTATTCATTTTTCTCACCCATTTTTTTCAAAGCAGCACCTTCGTTAATCGCTAATGAAGTATACGCATCGTTGACCTTCGCAACATTCGTTCAACTTTGTCGCTGATTTTTTAGGCAATCTCTGTTCGCATTTTTGTCTGTTCTCGATGCAATTCGGCAATCGAACAACAAACCTATAAATAAAAGAAAAAAACAAAACAGGTAAGAGGCCAACGATAATAAGTTATCAAGGTTGCTAGTAGTTTATATTTATATGTAATTAAGTAAAAATTAATGTTAATGCAGATCAAATCGTTTATTATGCTGGAAGAAATAAGTTACATTCTTCGAATATGAAAGTGTTTAATTCTTTAAAAATTACAACGTAAGAAACTTAACAGTAATAAATATTATACATTTAAAATAATTTAAATAAAGAAGAATGTTGTTAATGTCTTAAAAAAAAATTGTTGTTTACAATATTATATGATAAACACATTTTTGTTATAAAAATTAATGCCAAAAATTGGTTGATAAACACTTTCTAAATATGGCACTACACCAAATAATGGCCTTCATTTAAGCTAAAAACGAAAATGTTGTTAGAGGCGCCGTGAAAAAATGGTAAATAGCCATAACTAATTTTCAGGGGGATCCCAGTTAATTTGGCTTTAAATCATATATATGAGTGCGCTTCTTCTTAGTCAGATACAACGAAAATAAATGAATCAGCTGGACAAACATCCAATTTGTTGTAGTGTTTAAACGAATTTTTTTTGGCAAACACAAAGTCCCCCAAAAAACGCAATAAACACACACAATCCCTAACCGAGTCGGCCTCCTCTGTAATCATAGTGCATTACACTCGACTGGAGGCCTGATGGAGAGATTGGGTGATCAGGACTGGGAGGGGGGAGGCGAGGTGAGCAACTTCCAGGTCAAGCAACTTCTGGCGGCAAGGCCATGCCCGTGACTGAAATGGAAATGGAAATGACAGCCGCGAAATAATAAAACAAAACACAAAAATTAACCGAATATCAGACGAAATTTTTGGCTGGGGAAGCGAATATCATTGACCCAAGGTGCAGTTACCTTGCGTGTTCCCTCCAAGTGCAATGATCCGATGATCTGCTGCCATCCATCCAATCGGAAGCGGCGCGTTTCCAACCCTGGGAGATTCGACCTTACCCTGAACAGAAAAATATGTATACAAGTGTATGAGAAATGGGGGTCAAGACACTGAACCAGTCGGTTGTGAAAAGTATAGGTTTGCATTCACTTACTTACGATCATTATGAAAGATTTGGAGGTCAGGTCCATAGGTAAATCCCAAGAGGTATAAAAAACATACATTTCCAACTAAAAATATAAACATCACAAACAAATTTCTAAAAACTATCCATGTTGGTTTGTGAATAAATTAATTCATACGTTTTTCATTTGTCAGCATAGTTGGCCATGTCATGTATATGTGGTGAACACTAATTTATAAGTGGAAATGATCGACCCCAAAATACAAACCAAGTTGAGAACACAGATCTTAAGAGAATTGAACTACAATCATTTCGAAGTAAGGCTTTTTTAAATCGGATGACTTTAAGAAAAGTTATGGGCTTAGAAGAGCAGGTTTTAAGTCACTTTTCTGCAAAGCTATTTTTCAAAAATTTGGAAATGGGTTACATTGTAAAAATGATGAAAAATCGACCCAAAATTACTAAAGTAAGTTTAAGGTATGCCATTTTGAAATCGGATGTCTGCAACAAAAGTTATGGGCGTATAAGTGCAGGTTTTAGGTCACTTTTCTGCAAAGCCAATTTTCAAAAATTTGGAAATGGGTTACAGTGTAAAAATGATGAAAAATCGACCCAAAATTACTAACCAAGATGAGTATACAGATTTTTTGGGGACTTAACCACAATCATTTTAAAGCATGCCATTTTGAAATCGAATGTCTGCAACAAAAGTTATGGGCTTAGAAGTGCAGGTTTTAGGTCACTTTTCTGTAAGGTGGGTTTGGAAATGGGTTACATTGCAAAAATGACCAAAAATCGACCCAAAATTACAAACCAAGAGGAGTATACAGATTTTTTGGGGACTTAACCACAATCATTTTAAAGTATGCCATTTTGAAATCGGATGTCTGTAACAAAAGTTATGGGCTTGGAAGTGCAGCTTTTTCTGCAAAGCCAATTTTCGAAAATTTGAAAATGGGTTACATTGCAAAAATTACCAAAAATCGACCCAAAATTACAAACCAAGATGAGTATACAGATTTTTTGGGGACTTAACCACAATCATTTTAAAGTATGCCATTTTGAATTCGGATATCGGTAACAAAAGTTATGGGCTTAGCAGTGCAGCTTTTAAAGCTGAAATTTGGAAAGGATTACATTGTAAAAACGATGAAAAACTGACCCAAAATACAAACCAAGTTGAGAACACAGATTTTTAGAGAATTAAACCACAATCATTTAGAAGTATGTCTTTTTTAAATCGGTTATCTGTAAGAAAAGTTATGGGCTTAGAAGTGCATTTTTCCCAGTGTAATTTTTGTCCGTTAAGCTTGTCGATCTCTTGCACTCTCTTCTGATGATCCTTACTCTTTCGATGCCCGGCTCTTCTGACTTTTTTTCTGATGCTGATCCACTCACAAGATCAGCTTGACTGGGCTCCTTGCATAAATTAAAAAAGATGATGAAATTCGCCAAGTTTGAGGCATAAGCGAGCCAAAAACCAAACAAACTGTTTCCCAAGCGGAGATAAAATTATTCACTTATTTTTATAAAAAGCTTCTTTGTTTTTGGTTTTTTTTACCGCCCCTGCCCCTTCTGCATTTGCCGTTATACAGACCGCCGACGACGCCCACAAAATTCACTGCATTCGACCGAAGTCCAATTGGCCTGTCCCGCCCTTTTTCCCCCGATATTTAGGTTTGATGGGTATTTTTAGAAGCAACAAATGCAATAGAATTCCCCTTCTTATTTTCGTACTCTCGGTTGCTCCCTTGCCCGCTAAATAGCCGCTACTAATACTAATTGGAGGACGTCGCTATTGCGGTAGGTTCGTCCCATGCGTCGTATACGTAATGTCGAAATTTTAAGTGGATGGGTCTAATTATGAGTGCATGTCCAAATATGTACTTTATGTATAAATAAAAACGAAGCTTATTAAATCAGACATAGCGAAACTTTGATTTTCCAAATTTTCACAATTGTGTAGCTTTTATTTAAATACGAACTGATCAGCAAAATAAAATTTTAAATGGAATTAAACTTATACTAGTAAGCATTTAAAAAATTTGTTTCATTGAAATAGGTAGCCCTTTGTCCTTTACCCTAATATAATTAATGTTTTACAGAAACTATTTTTGATTTTAAATATATTGCTTAGCAAAGAGATAAACTACCATGGAAAATATGATCTGGCCCATTAATCACTTTATTGTTTGGCCTGAATTTATTCAGTACTGCACTTTCCCCAACATAGTCAGCGGTGTTATTTGATTTCCCTGTGTCCATTTTCCCCAATGATGACTTCGCCCTCGCCGATGGCTTATCTCTAGTCGGACGGGAATTCGCCGTTTCTATTTATAGTAATTCGCCTGAAGTTGCTTGACCAGACAAAAGCGAAAGATGATGAAATATGTGTGATGTGTTCGAGCTCAAAATGCTCGCTTTGGCGATCACTCTGCCGATTACCGTGGTATTTCGGTACTTCACCCACAAGTGGAACTCGTAAGTCGGAATTCTGCTCTGGCGAACTTCGCGCCTCCTTCATTTATTCAGGGTCACCTTTGGAGTCACCTTCACCTTCTGCACATCGATCATTCGCCTCACGCATGTATTTTTTGCACTGATCGGCGTTCGGAATAACGAAGCTATAGGTGAACTATAAAGACTATAAAGGGGAGTGACTGGGATATAGAGAGGGAGAGTGACTCAAGTGACATCATTCCAAAGTTCAATCTGTTTTGGGCGTGATTCAAGTGTTGAGTTCGCCCTTACTTGTAACTTTCAAAGTCACAGGTTAAATTAACTTCTTATAATAATAAGTATGGAAAATCTAAATATGACCCCTTGTCCGTATGTTCTCAATGTTAGACGTAAAGAGAATAAAGGTCCGACTCCATAACTAAAGCTGGAAAAATTTTTATGAGGTAATGCCTTCTGTTAGTTTCAGCTTATTGCTTTATAGGACTTTATGTTTTTAAATAGGAAATTTCAAAAGTTTAGGGTTGCCAATTTAAAAGAAATAACCGTTTTTAATATGTAGACTTTTAATTTTACAAAAACAAATATGTATTATTTGGCCTTCTCTTACAAACATATACGCAGCATATATACCATAGTCGCCAAGTATGACCAATATTAATTTGTTGACTTGATTTTTCTGTTATTGTTGCGGACCTGACCGGCCTGCTTTACATTGTACTCCAATGCTTTACTCATTCACCGAATGCAGTCAGCTTCCACTGTTTCCATTTTTATTTTATTTTTGAGACTTGCCTCGGTTCAACGCATTGTGAATTTGCTCGTTGACCTTAAATGCAATTTGTAGCTACTGCTCGCTCATGTTTTGATTTTTACTTCCGACGTTGTCCTTGCCAAAGTGCAAACGCCTTTGGCGAAAAAACACAAACATCGAATACGAATAATGTATAACTCATGCCCTGTTTCAAATATTCGATTTTTATACGATCACCCGATCATTCGGATTTCCCGCATCTCCGATTTATGGCCCCAGCCACACGATCAATAATTTGCAAAAATATGTTAATTATTTCTTGGTCCTCAGGTGCCACGATGCCACTTCTCTTCAGCTTCTATCTTCACATCAATAGCTCCGATTCAGAGGCGCTTTTGATTTCTGAAAACGCGTCGCGATTGCTAAAAATAAATAAAATGTGGGCAAGCACGGAGCAGCAACAAAATACATTTTCTGCGCTCGTGCTTCGATTAGCCATCAACAATCAGAGAAAGAAGCAGGGCAGCAGAAAATGTGCTAAATACTCAAATCATTGAGCACGCCTCTTGCTCATGTCTATGCTCCATTGGGAGGTAAATTGCTTGGTGGGGGGATCACCAAAGAATTACGGGGAAAATTCCAGTTCGCAAAAAATAATGGATACGAAATTTGGGGCTGTATACACACACCAAACGCAGTTTTTCTTTCAAAACTCCTGGGAAAATTGGCA